GTCAAGTAAGTGCAGTTTCTATTAAACTACCAACATTTTGGACAGCCGGGCCGGAAGCTTGGTTCGCCCAAACTGAAGCACAATTCGCTTTGCGAAATATTACCCAAGACGAAACTAAATACTATCATGTTGTCACCGCCCTCGACAACAGCACAGCAACTCGGGCACTTTCAATTAACCAACCCACAGAAGACAACAAATACAGCACGCTGAAAACATTTTTGTTGTCGGCATATAGTTTGTCTGATACAGAAAGAGCATCAGCGCTCTTTAAACTACAGGGGTTAGGAGACCGTAAGCCGTCAGAGTTAATGGACTCCATGTTAGGCCTCCTGGGAGCGCATGAACCGTGCTTCCTTTTCAGACACTCATTCCTACAACAGTTGCCTGAATACGTGAGAGTCCCCTTGGCAACATTCGACCATCTCGACTGCCGCAAGTTAGCACAAGAGGCCGACAAATTATTCCTTGCCGTTGCTCCACCCGCGACACTACTGGCCGTAGATCGCACAAAGGCTGCTAGCAAGCCCAGACCTTGCTACTCGACAGGTCTATGCTTTTACCACCACAGATTCGGATCAAACGCCAAAAAATGCGTTTCGCCATGCAGTTACAAAGCCTCCAAAAAAGCATCTGCGGTTCATGGAAACGAGTAGGTGGGCCAGCAGAATTCAGTCTGGCTTCAGAACCTTCTGTTGGCCCACAAAAAGCTCAATTCATTATCATGGACTCTGTCTCTGGCCGCCGTTACATCATCGATACGGGAGCCCAAGTTTCGGTTCTTCCTGCAACATGGCGGGACAAACAGGCGAACACTTCAGGCTCTCCACTTTTAGCCGCAAATGGTAGCAAGATCAATACATATGGAGCGCTCAACACCACCATTCGTTTCCAAAACAATGCTTTCGACGCCAAGCTTGTCATCGCTGATGTAAAGCGGGCCCTATTTGGTGCTGACTTTCTTCGCCGCCACAACCTACTGGTAGACATTCGTGGTCAGAAACTGATAGAGGCTAAATCTTTCAAAGTATGCCCATGTACTATCAGTCAGA